CAAAAACTAAAAATATTAGTTATGGTGACAAAGAACACTGCTTTTCAGAATGAGACAATCTCAGCTATACATTTCTCCTCATTTTTCTCTTCTCAAAATCTTATAAATGAAACACAGCAACATCACAATTAAGCCAAGCCTTGATAATCAGCTGTCACAAACAGCTATGTTACTGGCAGATGGACAAGCAGATGGAACATTTTTCATAGCCTTTTCTACTTATGGAGTCCAGCCAAACATCATTTTCCAATGTCTTCCTGAGAAATAAGACTAATTATCGCAGTCATCACTGAAAGCCCACTGAACATCAGGAGGAAGAACATCACTATTTGTAGCTCCTTTGCCTAAATATCTTATAATAATATCTAAAATTGACAGCATGAAAGAAGTAAACAGAGGGGGAAAAAGAATAGAAACACTGGCAATTTTAACAACCTAAACGCTTATCTCCTTTCACATACAATGAAAAATAAAATATCTGTAAAGTGAAATAACTTCTATCACCCTTACATAAGAAGTGTGTTCGTTTGAACTGTTAAGTCTAGAAGGAAATGTAAGTTTGGGGATATCACTTTAAAAGCTTTATATACCTCCTTATAATTAGTTGTGAGTGCTACATATTATCCAGAAACCAGAGAGGCAGTACTGGAAGCTGACGTATCATCATTCAAAGGTTCACAACTACTCTTACATACTACTTCAAAGAAATACCCTTAAAAAACCCCTTCACAATATCGTCTTCTTTGGAAAGAGCCGTATGTATTATGTGAGACTTGAAACGTAGCAATCAAAATCAGTGGGAGGAAAAAGACAAAGGTTTTCATCTCAGACTTGGTTCATATTCAAAGCAAAGCAATTTTACAGCAACAGAGAAACAGGAAACAGAGACGAAGGTAAGTAGGTAAAGAAGTGAAGCACAAGGTGTTTAAGAACAAAAACATTAGTGTATGTCTAACTGGTGTACTTTTTAAAGTCATCTACTACAAAAGACACTTCCACCTAATGAACTGAGTTCTATAAAATAACCAGATTTACTGAAATTTTTCAGCTTCCTTTCTTGTTTTAACATCTTTTTCCTGCACAGATTCTCTCCAAGAGCAACCAAATTGCTCATTTCCCTTCACCTTCAGCCCTACCAATGAGTCTAAAATAGGCCCTGAGCACTGAATATAAAGCACATTGTGCACCTGAAGCCTCATTTTCCAGTCAGTTTCAATTAGAGATACTCACACCTTTCGGTGTCCTGAACAAGAACACTAACACATGGTATCCAAGCTGCTGCCCCACCAGCCGACTGCTTCTTCCGACCTACCCCTCTCTATGCATCCAGCATGTGAGCTGCTAAAAGCAAGAAACTGTATCTGTCCCCCAGTGCAAAATTAATGCAATACGTATGTTACAGGATTAATTTGCTAGTCCATTATTCTTTATATTTCATATTCTGAATGACTGCTACAGCTAACAGGATAAACAGAGTGATTTTCTAAATCTGGCTTTATTACAATACTAAGAAAATAAACACAATGAATAATATGAGTAATACTAACCTAGTAAAATATTCCAGTGCTTTCTCTACATAGTCCACAGCTTTCCCATCAAGATAATCGACTAGAGCTGCTTTTGCCATCATGAGATGGCATTCACCCAAACCTGAAATCAGGTAAGGTAGTTGTTAAAATATGTAAAAGGACCACTTAGAATGAACTTCAAATAAATTTATTGGTGTTATATTACATCCACTTTCCAAAAAACAAAACTGAATGATATTTTATAAAAATTATCTTTAAGCATGGTCTTGCATACATTTAGCAAGAAATTCAAACGGTGGGGTTCTGCTGGAATAAGCATGTACAAAAAGATAAAAATTATCTATGGAACCTAAGAATTTCCTTGACTTTGGGCAAATTACTTATCTCTTAAAATCTTAGTTTTGAAAATGGGGATATTACCTAATAATATCTAATATGATGCTACTTGCTATCATATTATTAATTAGCTGTTATGAAACAAGATTTGATCTCTTTATATTGAAAACTGTGCAGCAAACTATACTATAAAAACTAAATAAAATGCCATTTCTAAAGTTCCTAGTAACATTTAATAAATGTGAATTCTCCTTCTGTGGAGGAGTTTTACAATTTTTTTTATAAGGGGTTCAAGGCCTAAGTTACATGTCACAAAACATACAGTATTTCTGAATTAAACTCCAATTGGGTCTTCAAAAACAAAAAGGAAAAGGAAATGGGGGAAAGCAAATGTAATGGGCTCTAGGTTTCTTTAAATGGTTAGAAATAATCATAAAAACTTTAATTAGATATGAATGTGGTGTTTTACTTTATACTACCAAAAATAATTTGTTAAGAAGGAACAAGTATCTATAAAGGAAATACAATTAATTTAGATAATTACAAAACAATGCAATCTGCCTCTAAAGTTCAAAAATTGAGAATCTGAGCTTCTATAATTTACAAAGTAACTAAAAAGTATTAAGGTATTCTGAGGATATAGTGAATTAATTATCAAAATATAAGCGCAGGGAAATTCTTGTCTTAGAGATCCATTTTTAGATCCAACAGTTATGCTATTTATTTAAAAGCTAAATCTCTATCATATCATATTTTTTAACTGTTATGAAACCAAATTTGATCCTTCAATTCTCGATTCTATATAACAAGCTATATTATAAGAGGTTCATACTGGACACTTGCTGTTGACTAAAGAAGCCCTTTTCAAGTTATTTGATACATGTAAAAAAGGATTTACTCAAGGATTTTGTACTTCAGTATCACAAAAGTCAAAGGAGCTATTAAAAAGAAATTACCTTTTAAAGCAGGCACATAATCTTCTTTGTTTCTAATGATCAGCTGGTATTGAGCTACTGCTTCCTTGTATTTGCCTAGGATTTGCTGTATTGCTGCAACCTTAAACACACTGTATGTGGATTCTGGGTTCAGCTCACTGGCTTTTGTGAA